AGGATATAGTTTATTGCAAAGGCTCTAGGTTCAATCCCCAATATCACAAGGAAAAAATTAAAAATTCTTTTGGAAAGGAAAAGAACTCAAGAAGCAACTTTTTCCCTAAAAAAGTAGCTTTGCTATTTATTCATATAAAATGCTAAGGTCAAATAAAGTTTTAAATTGTACTAATATAAATGAAGTAGTCCTCAAACTGGGTGTATTCAATTATTAAAACAATCTAAATACAACTGTATTTATCTATGTTCATATGTTTGGAGTCCTGAGGGTTTTGATTCTGTTTTATTTTTTCCCCAAAAGGATTTATCAATGCATACTAAGATTGTAAGACTATACTTTATTTTCAATTTATAACCCAGATACCTTAAATTCAAAAATCAATTTTTAAGCCATAGCCTGCCAAAGCACACAACTGACAGTACTCAACCAAGTCATCAGAGCCAGGCACTAATCTCTGTGGGCCTAATTCCCTGTCATTTAGCAACTTTCAGGAACTGAGTTGTCCCCCAGTAAAGAGTACACTGTCCTAAGGTTCTGTCAATGACAGTTCCCAAAAGAAAGTAACACCAAGAAAACAATACACAACCACATCAAGCCAGGTACAGGAACCTCACACCTGTAACCCCATCTACTTAGGAATTGAAGCAAGAGGCTCACCTGAGCCCAGTAGTTTGAAGTTAGCCTAGTAATACAGCAAGACCTTGTTGGGCAAACTGCCATGAGGCAGCATTGAGCAGGCTTTATGACTGAAACACTGGCTTTCTACAGTAAAAAGTCTCTTCTGAGACTGCCCCAGGCCTAAGTGACTTGCCCGGTGAGCCAGCAGTGGCAAGCAGAAACAGAACTCTCCACATCAATGGTCATAGAAGAGGCCTGCAATGGCCTAGGACACTGTGACATCTCTGTAGGCAAAATAACACCACAGCTGAGGACACTGACTCTCCCTCAGATTTCCAGGACAATCACTGAAAACCTTAGAGATAAAACAGTTATCTCATCAAGCAAAGATTTACTGCTTGGAATGTCTTTTTTCCATTTTCCCAAGGCCTTGCTCACTATCATGCCTTTCACCTCAGCTATTCCTCGCACTTCTCTGCACACCCTCTGAACACCCAAAAATTAGTTACA